CTCTATGTGAAGTCATTGCTCATCTTTGTGTTTTAACAGGCTGCTGAACAGACTTCAGTGGAATTCTCAGACGAAGGCAGACTAGGAAGAAAGGTCTGGTGATCTAACTTTAAAATCCAGCCAGTTATCGCCATGTGGATCCCAACGAGTCCAGCTGGGAACCAATTAAGAGATGGCAGCACCAGGCAGCAATTTGTACTATGTGAACACTTTCACCACAATTTACTCAGCTATCTGGGTGTGGTGTGTCTCTCATCAAAGCTAGAATGTCTACCTCAAGAGGCCAGGGGATGGTGTCTGGTTGGATTTTGGTGCTGTAGCAGATAGGGCAATGTTCAGATTTGTTCATAGGATCACGGTGAGCAGTAGTCCACTTAATGGCACCCAACAACAACCACAACATCAGCACTTGTGTCTAGACTCACCCTTCTAGACAAAGCCCACACGTCTCCAAATCTAGAGACTTCATCACGGGCTTCAGCCCACGTACAAGCGTCCTCCTCTAGAGGGTCCGGGACCCTCCAGCACTTGCGCTAAAGCTGCATTTGCTGCACTTTGTATCGATACATGTTTGCTAACTCCAAGCGCCTTAAATCAGGCCCTTGTCTTGCTCAGTTTCTTTTTACAACAGGTAGGAGCCATTATGATGCAATAGTTAAGCATTTGGCCACTAACCAAAAGGTCGTTAGTGTGAAACCACCAGTGACTTTGTGAAAGAAAGACCTGGTCATCTGCTACAGGTAAGTCATCAATAAGGCTGCGCCTCCAACCACGTGTCTGTTCCACGAGGGGACCCTGGAGAGGCCACGTGGCTAAGTGGGTCACAGCCGATCATCTCTTCACAAAGAAGGTAGGTGCAATGCCAACCAGACTTGATTTAACAAGCTCAAGAAATGCTAAAAATCTGGGTATTGCAGTGTGAAAGTTCCCAGTGTTTATATTCTGGTTTAGGTGAAAACAAATTAGAAAAAAATCTCTGTGGGTAGAAGGAACAGCAGGCAGCGAGTTTTCAATGTGATGAAAATAAATGCCTCCGTTCACCTTCTGAGATAGTATTTCAATGCAGTCATTGGCGATGCTCTTTTCCCGTCTGCAGTGCTTCTGGGGACAGCCCAGGCTTTCTCCTCTGTCTCCTGCAGACAGATGAGGACATTCCCCAGACAAGAGGAGAGCTAGAAACCGGAGCTAAAAGGATGACAGTGGGAGATGCTAAGAGGAAGCCGGGGAGTCCCAGGAGTGAACTGGCAGGATGGGATTTCCTGCTGGAGGAGAGATTAGCTAGAAAGATAACAGGGCTGGGGCAACAAGAGAGGGTGTGGCCTCTGAGAAACAGAGAGAGGGGAACCCCTGAAGCACTGATGAAGCAGGGGTCTCTACAGGGGCCTAACTCAGAGCCATGGTTGCTACTCAGTCCACTGCTCTCTGTCCTGACTTAAAGCCAAGGCTGCCATTGTCCATCTCCCCAGATTAAATGACACTCTCCTGTCCCTTGAGACTCTGTGCAGCTCTTTTTTTTGACCCAGCCCTCTAGACAATCCCCATCTGATGGCCCTGAACTCGAGTTTAGAAGACTCTGTTAGCTGCTGACACTAGAGCTGTGGCTGCCTTCTTCCTTGCTGTGTTTTCAAAAGCCCAGTTGTATTTGTGGCTAGCTGCTGAGGTCAGCTCCAACACACAGTGACCCCCCACCTCTAAGAGGAGGAACCCTGGCCTGGTTCTGCACCATCGTCACGACTGTTGAGGTGCTAGCGTTGATCTTTGTGGCCCCACGTTGTACGAAGCCTCACCTCACATACTTTGTCCTTGGAGAAAGACATCATGTTTGGAAAAATGAAGGGCCAGTGCAGCAGAGGAAGACCTTCAACAAGATGGACTGACACACTGACTGTCACAATGGGTTCAAGGATATCAGAGATGGTGAGGATGGCACAGGACAAGGCCAAGTTCAGATCTGTTGTTCATAGGGTCACTATGAGTCACGGTCGACTCAATGACACGTAACAACAATGTGTACTCTGAATGCCTTTCAGACTAGGAAGGACTCTCGTGGGGCAGTGGTTAAAGTGCTTGGCTGCTAGCCAATCCAGACCCCCGAGCAGCAGGAAGGTGGAAGACGTGGCCGTCAGCTTCCGTAATGACTGCAGCCTCTGCCTTGCAGGGTAGCTATGAATGGGAATCGATTCAACAGCAGTGCACCGAGATTGCTTCCCCGCTGAGGGTGCCCACCTCCAACACTCCACTTGACAACATTCTGCTGTGACCCAAAGGACTCTCATTTTTGAATTTTCAGATGTGTGTCTTCATAGTCTGCCCAAGACTGAATGTTCCTATGAAGCTTGACACTAAGAATAACTCTGCTGGTGTTTAAAGATGTTGATCCTTCCAACGTGTTAGCAGGCCGCCACAGTACAACCAACTGAACAGGGAATTGGTGATAATTCTATCCTGCTGGCCATACATTCTGCCTTAGTGAATCAGTCATAGTGGTTTAAAGGTTATCACTCCATTGCTTTGTCAATGATTGAGCTAGAAACTGGCAAGAGAGTCAGTTCTGGCTCAAAAGATAGACATAAGGACATGAATGCTGGAGAATTCTGGGAGATGTCTTCCTCCTTGAAATAAAGACAGACAGAAAATTACAGAGAACAAACCCAAAGCCAAACCAAGCACATTGCTGTGGAGTTGATTCTAACAGAGTAGAACTGATCTCTAGTTTCCTAGGCTGTAAATCTTTATAGAAGATTGCCTCGACTTTTTCTCCCAGAGGGGCTAGTGTGTTAGAACTGCCAACCTTTTGGTCAGTAGTCAGTCCCTTTAATCACTACAACACCAGGGATCCTTGAGAACACACCAAACCTACTGCCATCAAAGTAATTCTGACTCATGGAGACACTCGACTGGGCTTCTGAGGCTGCAAATATTGACTGAAGGAAACGCCCATCTTTCTCTCATAGAGCAGCTGGTGGATTAGAACCATTGACCTCTCAGTAGACAATCCAACAAGTAATGCACTATGCCACCAGGACTCTTTAACAGAGAGGAGAATGTTAGCAAGAACTCTGTCAAAGGCAGAAAACTTTGAGAGTACAGAAAAACAAGGCACTTCTACTGAGCTGGGCTTTCACTATATTGAACCATTAATCCAACTGGTCACAGCTCATTGCAGATACAGAGGTGAAAACTGACCTTACTCTGAGTCAGATTTGCACAAATATAAAACAATGCCCTCCTTCTCAAAGTCTAGTTTTGTTTCAGAAAAAAGATATGTTCTTCATTAAAATGCTGTTTATATTAGCGGAGAATGAGTTGATAATTACAAATGAAAGCATATACACATTTGTCTGGTCTAAATTTCCTGTTTTACAAATTTAATACACACAAACAGAAGCATTTTGAGGTATTCAGCAATGTTTAAAAGAGTTAAGAACTCCTGGTTTTAAAATATGAGTCTACAATGGAACAGAACTGAGAACCCAGAAACAGACCCAGCTATCCATGGTCAACTGATATTTGACAAGAAAATCAAAGCTATCAAATTTCCCCAGTGATAACCTCTTCAACAAGTGGTGCTGGCAGAAAGCTGAAACAGGACCCACACTCACACTATAAACAAAAAATCAATTCAAGGTGGATCAGAGACCTGGGAGTAAAGCCCCAAACCATAACATTCATAATAGATAAACTGAGATCAAGCTTAGAAGCACTAGTTCAACGTATGAAGAGCCTGCCAAATACAAGCAGAAATGCACAATCTGAAGAGGATAAAATTGATGCATGGGACCTTCTAAAGACTAAATCTATGTGTGTATCAAGAGTCTTATAACAAAAGTTTACAGAATACTCTTGGGCCCCCACAAGAAAAAGATAAGCCAATTACAAAATGGGCAAAAGACATGGAAAGATCGTTCACAGAGGAAGATATTCAAATAGCAAACAGACACATAAAGAAATGCTCCAAATCACTGGCAATAACAGAGATGCAAATCAAAACCACAATGAGGTACCATCTCACTCCAGTAACAGTGGCAAAATTTAACAGGGCAGCAAGTAATAAATGTTGGAGAGGATATGGTGAGAAAAGAACTCTTACACATTGTTTGTGCGACTGTAAAATGGTACCGCAATTCTGGAAGGCAGTTTGGCACTTCCTCAAAAAGCTGAACATAGAAATTCCATGTGACCCAGCTATTCCACTACTTGGAATATACCCTGAGAAAATGAGAACTGAGGCACAAATGGAGATTTGTACACCAATGTTCATAGCAGCATTATTCACCATCCCAAGAACATAGAAACAGCCCAAATGTCCAACCACAAATGAATAGATTGAGAAGTTGTGGTCTATTCACACAATGGAATACTACATAGCACACAGGAGCAATGACTTTGTAAATTATTACCTAACTTGGGAGGAACTGGAGAGCATTATACTGAGTGAACTAACTCAGAACCACAGGACAAATATTGTATAAAATCATTATTGTAGAATGAGTATAAGGATCCAGGAGGGGTGGGAGAGGCTGGAAGCAGAGGGATGAGGATGTGCAGGGGGAGGGAGGATTAATCATGGGATTGTACAACTTGTTGGGTGGGAGCATGAGGGAAATTGAAAGACTCTCTTCTTGAAAACAATGTATTCGAATTTTGTAAATAAACTAGTATAAAAAAAGAAAAAGAAGGGCCTAGCGGCATTGAGGCAGCAATGGGCAGAATCAAGCTGCATACAGTATTTGTCAAAATACATTGTGAAATAGGTCATTTAACTGCAGTGTTTCCTCCTTCATACCATATCAATTATCTGTGCCTATAAATATTACATTCTAGTGTCAAAGTCCTTCACTGTCAAAGTCATTATTGTCAAAGTCTTAAAAGCACAATGTGAAGGATAGTGTGAAACATAATGTATATTAACTTTGTAAGCAAATTAAACAAAACATTTCTTTCTAAAAAATGCAAATTTGCTGAATCATTGGGAGACTAATCATCCTTTGCGCCCACAGGCCCCGCCCCCACAGGCCCCGCCTCCCGGCTGCGGCCACGCCCCCGTCCCCGCCCCTCCGCCCTCGCCGGGCGCGGCGCCCCCTAGTGCCGACTGCTGGAGCTGGCGGGCGCTCGCCACACCCCCCTGTTTCTGTCGGCGCACGGCGGGCGCCTATCCCTTTAAGTGGGACATACCAAGTCTTTCACGGTTCGGGGCCCTTCCTGAGTCAGCGATGGCGGCGGTCGACGCTTCCGGGTCCCGAGAAGGAAACGTGGGGCCTGT